CATAACACGACAAGGAGGATCAGGGCCATTTAGAAATGCGTCCCAATTCTAACTAGGCTCATCTGTAATCACCAGGGCTATATGTCGAGGTGCAAGCACAGAGACAGGAGCATGAGAAACTAAATCGACAGATTCAACTAAGACTAAATGCTCAGATAAATGCTACCCAAACGCTAATAGTAGTATGATATAATGCAGCGTTAAAGGTAGGGTGACTTAAATTCAGATGATTGATTAACTTGGAGCAGAGAATATTGGATAAAGAGAGAAACTCATTCCTTATGGTTATAATAGCTTGTGCGATACTACTAAAGGATAATTCCCTTTAAAAGGGAGTATAATTAAAGTCCTTTGGAGGGTATTGGCTTTATGTATTACAATAGTATAGGGTGATACGCCAGGAGGGGTAGCAGGGTTTGGGTAAGCTCCGAATGTATTGTGCTGTTAGCCTCAAGTTTTAGCTTACCTAACACCGAACTAGTTCCCAGAAGCAGTATACACCCATTTGATTTTTGTTGTTTAGAGACTCTTCCCAGGGCTTTAATTTAAATCAGCTCGCTCAGAAGAAAGAGATGGATGGGTAAGAGAGATCGAGCTTGATAACAGAGGAAGAGGATGGCCATACCAAATTTCTTCATCGCTATTGCTACTATTCCTTATTTATATCATTTCCTATACATGAGGGTTTACTCGTCACTTTTCTAAAGCCTGCTTCTGCTGCGACTGCTGTTTGAGCAATTCTGACCTAATAGCTTAGATACGATTTTTGATTGAAATGTACTGATCCTTGAATATTCTGCGACTATCTCTAATATGAAGTTGGACCCTTGCATTGAGATAGGCATGGAGTCCACTTCCACAAAATAAAATGCTTTATCTTTCGCAGTCGTCATAGTAGGACAAACCCCAGCTCCTTTGGCTCCTTCTTAGGAGTTTACCAAAAGAGGACTTTCAGAATTCTTACGGGAGGCCACTCAAGACAAGATGGATATAATAAATTGCTGGCTAAAACCAACAAGTTTGCAGGTTATGTTGCAAACTGGTCCATCCTTAAAAGTAGGGGCTTATAACTACGGTTTGTTAGGCAGTTTGGAGTTAAATGGATTTGCATTTAACCCATTATCCTAGTGTCGAAGAGGCAAATGATAGAGACCAGCTTAATTCATAAGCAATGAACAATAAAATAAACAAGATTGACGAAGACTGAGGATTTCTATGACAGTTGGCTTATGCCGCTTTAGCAATTTTCTGCAAGTTTATGTGGGACTGATGGCTAAATTGTTCCAAAACCAAATGGGTTTATCTCATAATGTTGATTAATTTAATATAGTCTTGCCTCGTAAAAGACCTTTCATCCAGGATAGACTGTATTTTCGACCTCGGCTGCGGTCTCATTGTCACCCGAAATAGTGTCAAAAGCGGCGGAAACTGGAAGACCCAGGTTAGCTGGAAACTTAAGACAAGTCTGGATGAAAAAGCCTTATGGAAGGCAAGACTAGGCGAAATAAAATGGTGTCATAGGGTCAATTCGTTCCAATGCTGTAAAAGTCAACTACCAATACTATATCATCTTTTTCGATTTATGCTGATTAAAGGCCATGCTCAGGATCATTTGATAGCCTAGAAACACATTCAGTTGTTGTAAAAAAGCCTGGAAGAGAAAAAAATAATAAATAAAATTTTTGATCTGAGACGTATTCACCCTATTTCGTCTAAGGTGACGAAAGACTGGTAGAATCCCGCTGAGGGTGTTGATAAGACCGATGCGAGGTCAAAACTGCAGTCCACCTCTGCCTGGATGAGAACAACTTTTGGGAAAGCAAGGCTATGTGCAAATTCAATAGAAACGTCAGCTCAATTCATTTCATTGTGGGAAAATTCTTATTCCACTAGTTATTCATCACCTTTAACGAAATTGGGTGAATACATCTCATATTACTGATTTACTGGTAGTCTCGAAACTCTACAAAATTTTTGATCATTGAATTTCTGGCTGATGGAAGCCTTTTATTTCAGACCCGAAAATAGTACAGAGCGATATGAGAATGTAGATGACCTGAAGTCTACAATGCGAGCATAATACACAAAATTGTCATCTCATTTCATCAGTTTCACTTCATGCTTTTGTAAGCTTATGTGAAAGTCCTTTAGATTGGGCTTTATTCCCTGATTCTCCTCGAAATAATCGTAGCTCTTCCAGCTCAAGTGATCCTTCAAAAAATGGCACCAAATATCGTCTATCTAAGAAGTGTCCACAAATAGCACTTACCCGGTATCCCAGTAACCTGCCAGGTATCTCTTTCTCCTGTAGAGGCCGGAAAGTTAATTCTGCAGAGGAACCCCTAGAATGCGGGATAACAGCATGGTCTGAGGTGAGGTAGCATGACGCTGAATGTCGATCATTTGTGGGCAAGAACCGGATGCGTGGGCGTCTGACGCTGGCAGTCGGCGGCTTCTCGAGTGTCCTAGTTACTAGGATGGCAGTGGCCACTGTGGAGTCTGAGGGTTCACAGCCAGCTGGGTTGCACCGGCGCACCTAGTCCACAAGTACACACACCAATGCACACCCACACACACACACATACACACGCAGAAAGAAAAGATATGAATGCTCAATCTGCTAGAGCCGGATACAGAAGCACAGTAGGAACCTGAATAAAAGTCACCTCTGATGAGTGTCCTTTAAGCATGTTTATGCAATATTGCAGTGACCGAACCTTCATTTGTCTTAGTTTATCGTAACCTATTTCAAAAACTGGTATTAACCTCATAGTTACCTTTTAATCGTCCATTATCTGATTTCAGAGGAACGTTGCCAAAATATAATGAGATCCATAACGTTAGATATACTATAAAGTATATCAAACTTCTTGGCATTAAAGTGCTAGACACCGACGAAAGCCTAGATATTTGACAAACTAAAAATGCTATACGAAGAAAATGCGGGCTTCAAAGAATCTCCTAATATAAGCTTGTTGTAAAGATTTTCATTTCGTATGGAAAAAACATGATGAAGAGATTCGCAGGTTAATCTCACTAGAAGGCGTTGGCTGATTCGCATTGACCTACTAATCTCTTTGAGCATGAGAAACTTACATACGGCTTTACACAGTGATTATTATTTTCATCTGAGATCGTGTAATTGAACTCTAAATTAGTCCCGCTGGGGGTATTGATAAGACCTATGCGAGGTGGAAACTACAGTCCACCCTAAATGGGAACATATTTTATAAAAAGCAAGGATATGTGAACTTCAATGGAAACGTCAGCTCTGCTCATATCATTGTGGGAAAATTCAACTACCACTCACCTTAACACCTTAAACGAAATAGCATGAATACATTTCATATATAAATGATCCCTTGGTAGCCTAGAAAAGCCTGCTTATAAACGAAATAATGCAATAATATTTTTAAGGTCTTAGCAGCCTTTTATTTTTTATTTTCTGTTTTTTGTAGGTAACTTTCTAAGGTATAATCTTTGGTCTTTTATGGCTACTTTTATTGATTGATTGTCGGCTTTAAAGAATTTGTTTTTCATTGATGATGCCAAATATGATGTCAGAGAAATGTCTGGAGGTGTCTCTACTCAACCCCTTTCTCATTTTATACGAATATATGACAAAAATATCGGAGAATGCATCACGAGGTACACGATCCGAAGTGTCCCTGTATAGACAACTAAATTGCGAATATAAAGCCAAGCCAATACTACTTTTGATTTACTCTCTTCTATCCCATCATCAATTTTTGTAAGTATGGCTCTGTATATCCGTAGCCAAATTCGGATATCATTTGCAATAACTCAGTTGGATCTTTCAGCCATCTATTCTGCCAAGGCCACTCATCGAAGCACTAGAACCTTGTATTGGTAGCCAAATAAAATGGCATAGCTGTAGGCGAGTTTGCATACTGATTCTGATCAATTTGTATAATTCCTAGCTGGATCCATTGGAATTGAGGAGTTAATGATGAATATGCGAAATTGGCTACAAGAAATCTCAGAGTAAGCTAATACATTATTTCATAATACATTGAAGACAAGTTTTCCACGCGTCCGTGGACTTCATGATGCTCTAACTAGGCTTATATGTAACCTCCTTAGAAGTAGACCCAAGCATAAAAGATTAGACTCTAATTGAAATTGTTGATTGGACAGAGTTTACTTCGAGAGCAGTAAAACTACAAATAAAAGCATTTTTCAAGTACAGGGCACATCGAAATTTCATTTTTACACCCCATTTTTTAAATTAATCGGTAGGTTCGACATCTATACATTGCTATGCAAACAAAATGATTTTATTCACATATTTAACAATAATACTTTTGGATAAACATAAAAAATGATAGACTTCTTTTGTTGCTTAACTTTTATTCTGTTTATCTTAGCTCCACTATCCGTAAATGATGGTTGACCAGTGGGTGCAGTATTTCTAACTTTTCGGCGTCGCATACGAGCAGGAATTTGTGAAAAATGAGAAGTTAATAAAGCCGCTTCGGGAATCAAAGCCAGGTCAAGCAGATTCTGACGCCATATAAGTAGACTTTTGCAAATAAAATACTTTTGCAAATTGGATCCAGTTTCTTAATATTCGTTGTTGATCATTTGCTTGACAGGCCCAACTAGCCGAGGGAAGAGCTCAATGCCACTACAGTTACAGCCTGATACAGGATATTGGGACTAATCAGAT